CCCAATGCAGCCCTGTTATCCCACCCAGAGCCACATAAGTGCCCTCAGAGGATCTCCTGGAGGACAGATCCACCTGCTCAGCCACAGCTGCTCCTCTAAGGTGTTTGGTTTGAGTAGTTCATACAGCATAGGTTGTAGCCAAGAGGATTCTAACTACTCATCACTCCACACTGGCAAGGGAGTACTCACTACCTGATCTCTCTCAGCTCCCTCAGTTCTCTCCCAGCTGCCCTGGGCAGGTTTGTGGTGCAAAGGGGAAGGAGCAGATCTCAACTTCCTCCAAAACAAGAGTTTCTGACCACTGAAGGTTTAGTGCAGCAAAAACATCCTGAGATTTCAAAGAACAGAAGGGACCTTAAAGTTCATCTCATCCCAGCCCTGCCCTGGGCAGAGACACTTTCCACCAGTCCAGATTGCTTCAAGCCCCATCCAACCTGACCTGGAATATTCCCAGGGATGGAGCAACCACAGCTTCTCTAGGCAAGTGTGCCAGTGCCTCAGCACCCTCAAAGGGAAGGATTTCTTCCCAATATCCCACTCAAATCTCCCCTTTTCCAGTATGAAGCCATTCCCCCTTGCCCTGTCCCTCCAGGCCTTGCAGACAGGGAGGTGACAGAGGCAGGAGGTGACAGAGGAACCACTACCACCAAACAAACCTCAGCTGTGACCCTGGCAAACCCCAGAGCTGTACAAAGGTCCTTTCCTCTGTGCCTCAACCACACTTGGCTAAAAGCAGAGTGAGAATCACCTGTAGAAAAGGGAATTACCTTTCCAGGATACCCCTGGAAGTGCTGAGGGGCCACACGGAGCCAGGACACACCACGTGGCTCCTCATCAGCACAGACTGGCAGAGTTTTGGTTATTAAAACAACACGTGGCTAAGAAAATGTGCTCTTTACTCTGCACAGCCACACCTGGGGCTCATTTCCATAGCCAAAGTGCAATGTTCCAGCTCTCCAGGAGGAATGTGAGGCTTTTCCTGCTTTCACTGCTACCCACAGGGAAAGCACCACAAGGACCAAACCAGCCCCAAAATGATGCTTTGAGTGGCAGCAACTACCTGGAGCTGGAGGCAGAGACACCTCCCCTGGCCACACACACCTGTGCTGCCCTCCAGGAGGAGATTTCACCCTCCCAGGGAGCTCGTTAGCACACTGGATAATGATTCTATCAGATAAGTCAGCACAACCTAATGCTACTCTCCAGGAATGATGCAATCCAACCTCCCA